TAAGCCTCTATGACTACATTCCCTATGCTAATTACTAATGCTATCCTAAATTTCCAGGGTACGCGACGCGATAGTCATGGTACATGACTATACCATGTGACTTTTACCAGGCTAACAATGTACACAAGTATAATAGTTAAGTTGTGTCTGTATAATTATTTGGATAATGATTAACTTACTAGTTCATTGTTATACTTGGTTACCTATAAATTCTGAAATTGCCTAACATAAAATTTCTCAGATCAATTATGTTCTTTTAAAGAAAACAAAACCATATGTTTATTATTTTAATAGAAATAGAAATATAAAAACATATAAATTCTAAATCTGATTAGCCAACTCATGTCACTAATGTCAAAACGAATGAAGGTCGAAACCGAAGGTGTGAGCTCTTCTGCACCGAAACGGATGTCAGCTCGGATTGCGAGACAAGAGTCGCTTGTGGATGCCACTAGTAACCTTAGAATTATCCCCAGCTCCATATACATTTCCTTTTCCCGTTAAAAAAAAGCTTTTCATCTTCAAATATTAAATAAAGAGCATGAAGTAAACTAGGAAGATACGGGAGCGTAAAAACTAGACTAATAATCACGTGTATAAGTTTATATTCAGAACCCCTCATTCTATACACAACGTAAATTATAACACATAACGGAGGAAGAACGAATGCCAATAAGTATAATACAAAAAATGTTGGCTTCCTTTTCGATTTGTAAAGTCCATATAAGGCACCAAGGCCAAAGAAGGATAAAAAGACAGCGAGGATTATTGTGATAGTAGTTTTCGACAATCCTATATATTATAAAAATAGATAAAGTTAAATAATCGCGTATGGATGAATAAAGCATAGTAAAACGTGATGATACTATGTTAATGTGTAACTCTTACTTATAGGGCCGATCGAGGTATTATTACTACTCGAGCTATTACTACTGCCCAAGACAGAACCGTTAGTCTGAACAACAATAAACGCCTCAGAAAATTCTTGGTATTCTTTAAATTTATCTAATATGTAAAATCGATATCTTCCTGAAAGAACAGTAACGTTCCAATATTGACTTTCATCCGCAAGGATCACATTGGGATCTATTACTGTAGAAACTGACGTTACAAAGTTAGCTATACCTAACTCGACAGTGGTTTCTTGAATACCCTCAAAAGTCCAACTTATCACGGTAGTTAAACCTATTTGAATATCTTGAGGCGTAATTAACGATACACCTATTTTTAATTAGATAAATAAAATATTACAATAAATTATTTATCAATAAGAATCTATATGGACTCTCAAAGTTAAATATTGATAAATAAAATGACCCCTACTATAATCAGCTCCCACAGTCGTATAATAATAGATCGCGAGAACGTATAATATGAATTTGTAGTCAACCATGATTAGCTTGACTTTGACATTTTTCAAGTTTTATAAAATTTATTTCAGTCACACCAAAGAACTGATGGAGAGAAAACGCCGATTCATTAAAATGGAAGTCTCTATAGGTAAAAACAGACTGTTAAAATGGGCACAATATGGTGATACTCAATGTATCAAGTCATGCACATATCAGTAATGGAATATTCTGCATGACATGACGTTAAATCAGTTAACCGCATCGCGGGTGTAAATAGATTATAATTTGTAATAAAAAAAGGGCATCGTAGGAATTGCAATGCTTAAAGTCACTGCAACCTTTAATTAATCAACTTAACTTGATATAAACTCATTGATTCTAATAAGAATCCTATAAGGATTCTAGGAACTTGTAAAAGAATTGAAATATGGACAAGTGAAGAAAGAAGTTTGTTAAAAATTTAACTAAATTGTACGCCTCAAGTAGAGAAAAAGTAAACTTACCTTATTTCATAAAGAAGAGTCTGATTAACAACCGACTCGCCGAGACGAATAACAGCACCTACAAGGAATTAATAGAAAGGACTTTTTCATTGTTTAATTTTAGCCTGACCCCTTGTAAATGTGGTTATAAATATATTTATTATTGCTAATGAGATATACAAAAAATACGTTTTTTAAAAAATTTTCCATTAAATACAGTATATACAAATTAGTTTGCTAATAAATAATTGCGAATAGTTTCTGGGTATTTCAGAGTCCGAAATAAGTTTCTAACTATTCTTGTTGATTTTTCCATGATTTACAAAATTAATAATTATTTAGTTAAGTATCTCTTTTTTTTCATACCACAAATTCTAGCATATGATGTATAATTAAAAGAAAAACTTAGAAAAACGTTCAATAATTAAAGCATTACATGAAGAAGTGGCATAATCTGACAAGCTAACGATGAATATGGGTATTGTGCTAACTATATAATTGCAAAACAATTTCCTGGTTTGTACTTATATAAATACCTTTTCAGTATAGTAATTGAAGGTACAACAGAGATGATAGATCAAATATCATTTGTTTTTTAATTGTTGGCAAATCTGTATCACCAGCGTCCAAATGAATCGGGTGATTTATTTGTTTCTCAAGAAAATCCCTACAAATTATTTTGTTATTTGAATTGAAACGTTTAACGCCAAAATTACAAAAGTCATTGTATAAACAACAATACCTCGGATATCCGCATGGGTGAAAGGGAACAAGTAACGTGATGTCATATTACGTAATTGGTGTTGTTATGAAAGGAATGGCGGGAAATTAAGGTGAGAAAATTATGTGGGAAATTTATAGATAGGAATTTCTAGAATAGCGTAGAATAGTAAACGGACGTGAACATGTAAATATTGATGCATGTATAAATATATGTGCAGTTCAAAGCACGTAAGATAGATTTAAAACATTAGAATAAACAATAAAGTGAAGCTTAGAGGTGCAGAGATATTTAAAAGTTGCAACCTTAATTACATTACAACATGTAATAATACCATCGCAACTTTTACAACACATGTGACATAATGTCGTATGCTGTAATAAATGATGTAGGGCAACCTCAATTACATTTATTACGTCAATATTACCGTTGCGACTTTTATAGCATATACAATATTCATATATGCTAATTATTTAATATAGAACATAATAGATATCGTATATGGACAATTATTTTCGAAGACGGGCAGAGATTTTTCGGGCATCATAATTGTGATCCTGAAATTTACATTATTTACAGTATTGTTTAAAAGTATTGACCAAAAAATAATATCTAGCAGTTTTTTGTCGCCTTCAAAAATAATCAAACATATTGATATTGTATATTGTCAGGAGCAGGGAATATATGTAGAACATGGCTTTCGTGAAATAAATTGAGCAGGGTAATATACAGGATAGCCTATTTACAATATAATATTCATTTTGTTAGCAATAGCTATTGAATGTTTAAATATTCTTTTCATGTTTTCAATTAATTAGTGATGGTTTATTTCTATATCATAATTTGCATAAAGAACAATAAAAATATACAAAGAAAAGAAGCAGCTTTTTTATAAATAAAAAAATATTTTTTAAACAATAAAGCTTTTTATTTTAACTAAAAGTTTTGAAAATACAAACCGGTGTATTAACTTTATTTCCATTTTTTAATTTTATTCTATTTTGATAGTGTTACGGGTAATTTAGCGAGTCTGTTACCTGTGCACAGGATTCCACACATTACGTAGTGTTAATTGGCATAAATACAACAAATGTAAGTTTCTTCTTTAACTCTTGAGGCATATTTTGACTTGGCCGGTCTTCTCTTTAACTTCCTATCAACTAACAGAGATGCAGACACATTATTAAGTTGCAACCTTAGCTATATTACAGCACATAATATTATTTTATATCTTTTAAGATATAATGTCACATGTCGTAATATCTGATGTAAAGTATAATATATGTTGTGTGCTGTAACATAGGTTGTATATTGAAATAAGAGCCATGTGTATTAAATTTCAAACTTTTATATCAACGTAAGGACAGAATAAGACTGTACCAAAAGAAAAATCAACAACGCACCTAATGAGGACCACGAGAAAATAGATATTGAGAACAAACCGGACTCAAAGCTTGCTAACAAGACAGATGATTCTGAAAGTGGTGTGAGAATAAAAATCTTGGATATTGACAATAAACATCAGCTAGGCCCCCGGAATCCCAGTGCATACTTGCATCAAGTGAAAGAGATGCCGATCTTGGTCATTGTAAAGCAAGGACAAGTGTTAATAAGTAAGGAAAGGTCAGAAAGGATAAAAACAAAAAAGAAGAGATACTATGTCACAAAAAAACCACCTGACAAACCTGATTGTTCCACTAATATTCAGTCTAGTATGTATTTATTATGCTGGAAAAATCATCATCACTGTCTCCATCAAAAAGAAAAAGTACCACAGAAAAGATATCTACAAAGGAAAATAAGAAACCATCACACCAACAAAGAAGTTCTTGACAATTGATAAGGAGAAACATTATATTATCAACAAATTGTTCAACAGATTTGATTCTATTGCAACTTCACAACCCAGCATCAAAAAACCCATCATGTACTCATTATGACCAGAGAAAACATAATTGCCAACAGAGGAAAGCAAGAAAGAAGTGATGGATAAAAGATTTATAAATTGAGGGATGAAAAAAAATTAGGGTGAGTTATCAAAGGTAACATTAGTAAGGGAACAAAATTTCATCATAGTGATAAAGGTAAATAAAAAAAATTGCAATTATATTCACCCCAAGAGAGAAATCATCAAAGTTATCTAATAGAAACCTAAGAAAAATGAAAATAAGAAAAGAGAACATAATAGTTAATACTAGAATATATACTAGCAAAATCAGTAATGATATCTTAATTAAATAAAATATATACCAGGTTGATCAAGGCATAAGATAAATTGAAATAATTGATCAAGCAAGTATGCAAAAAAATTATTTTATTTAATATATTATATTATATATTTAATTTTACTTATTATAATATATACTACATTCATAATCTTAAAATTCATTAGTTAAAAATCAATCCACTAAATTTTTAAATGAATAATCAAAGTTTTCAGATTCAATCAAAATATTAGTATTGATTTTTTTCATTTTCAGAGTTATATTGAGACAAATCAATAATATTATCAATAAGTAATAAATTTTGAGTTGAATTTATATTTTCAAATAATTCTTCAAAATCAAAAAAATCTTTATTCTTGTTTAAAGCTGTTATTTCATTAATTGCTAAAATATTGATAACTTTATATAATTCTATTGATAAGTTTTTTTTCTTTATTATTTAATTATAATTTTATATCAACAATATAATATGATCTTATTTTTATTATATCTTTTAATTTATTGATATTTAATCTAGTTTACTAATTACCAATTATCTATTTTAAAATAGAAAGTTTCTTTTATAACTTACTTGCAATAACAGAAAAGAAAAAAGTCAATATTCTAATTCAACCAAATATTGAGACTTTGTTTTAATAGATCTTATAGATCTTCACTATAAAATTGAAGTATTCATTTCAATAGTATAAGATGTTAGCATAAAAATTGTAGTAAGAGTTATAATACAACATGTGAAAGTCCAGTGTAATATTGTATAAGGCATCAATTATATATTAATTATGTATAATTAATGGATATAAAGTTTATAGAAGTTTAGTAATATTGTATAAAATAACAATAAATTAGAAAGATATATTACAAATAATACAAATATTCAATATATATAGAATAGACAAAGAGACACAAATTAATTAATAAATACTATTTCTTGTGAAACTTATTGTTTGTACTAATGCAATAATTATTAATAAATTTATCTTATTTGTCTTTAATTATTCTAAAGAATCAATAAGCTTCATAATTTGATAACAAAAGAAGTTCAATCTAGAGAAAAGCAAGTAGTTTAAAAATTTAGTGGAAGCAGGTATAGTATTATTAACTTCTTGTGTAATTATTGTGCATATGTTAAGATGTTGTTCACAATTCAACTCAAATAGTATAAATTCAGTAAAAGCTTGTTTAGAATTGTTATATATAAACTTAGCAGCAGACAAATATTAATTTCAGTTGTTTTGATTGTAAGTTATATAGCTTCTTATCATTTTTGTTTAAGTCCTATCAGACACTCAGTTTGTTTATCAGTTTGTAAGTAAAAGACAATTAATATAATAAGTGTTGTTTCCAATTATTGAAAGAGACTTTCCCAGAAGTGACTGGTGAATTTGTATCCTTGTCAAATATAATAGTTTTTAGCAATCCATAATGGCAAAAATAGTATTAAAGAATATTTTTGCAACCTCAAGAGTGATGGCAATTGTATACAAAAGTTGAAATAAACTTGCTTGATAAGATAGTTTACAAAAATTACAATTGTATTATATCTTTGTTATATTATTAGCAGTTGTATAATAAAATTCAAAGAAATGTACTCCTAGTACTTTGTTAGTATGTTC